TCTCAAAGCTCTCTGCTATCAGAGTCCCCAGTAGAGCTGTCTAGGCAAGTTCCTCTTTTCTTCCATTAGGGTAGGGAGAGGCAGAGTGAGATACGCAGACAGAACTGACTCGGGACTGACTCAAATATTTCCTCCCCTGAAATTAGGGGCAAAAATCCTTGATCTGGCTGCTCACATTTTTTTTTTTAATTGAAGTGTCAACTTTTTAATTTAAAACCTAAGCATTTAGTACTTTTGACCTTTGCTGTGCGCAGTTTCTAAAACAGTCATTCTCAATCTCAGGAGCACATTAACATTTCCTAAAGAGCTTTAAGAATATCTGGCGAGGTGGGGGGAGTGGAACCCAGGTATTAGAAATGTTGAAAAGTGGGCCAGCCCGTGGTATGGTAGGTAGGGTGTCAGAATCCCACATGGCCAACTTCACAGTTAAGTCCCAGACTCAAACTTGAAAAACACTCCGGGCATGTGTGCGTGTATGCCCAGAATCCTGACAGGAGAATGGGGAAGAAGGGATTGCAGCGTGGCTCTCCTCCCTGGAGAGTGATTTCTCACTTTCCCTCTCTTGGTCTGACTCTCTCTCATGAGTGCTCATGCTCTATAGCAAATTTTAAAGAAATAAAGAAAGAAATGTGGAAAAATTCCTCAAGTGTTGCTGGTGCACAAGAGCGTTGGGAACCACTGCTCCAAAGAATAGGTGCCCAATGGAATTGGGTAAAGCACACAGCAGTTAACATGTCATATAACATCCTGTACAAAATGCAGAAAGTCAGGCACAGAGAGGCTAAGCAACCGACTTTACATTACACAGCTAGTCACTTTCAGAGCACGTTCCCTGCTTCCGTATATTTGCGAGCTTCATGGGCCAGAGCAGCACAATCAACTTGTCCTTTCCTGCCTCTTCCTCTCATTCCCGTGCTCTGCCCAGCTCTCCAGGGCACCGTCAGCACCATTCATTACAGGTGACCTGGTGCTGGCATAGACAAGGACTATGGAATAAACCTTCCCTTTGGGCATTGATAATTTACACTACATCCTCACCTCTGCAGAAAGATCGACTCGTGAGTGAACCAGAATTTCATTGACTCAGTCAAACCCCACTCGCTGTTTTCTATGTGGAGTAGTTATAGCGATGAAGAATAAGACGGTGAAGAGGCTGTATAACTAAGCCTCGAAGAAGTTAGGGACATTCACCATCAGACGTGACAAGAAAAAAAAAATAAATAAATAAAGATACAAAATGGGAAATCTTCTTTTTCCTAGTATCTTGACTTCAATAGTAATCTCTCTTGGCTAAGCCATTATTGGGGAACTAATACAACTCAGCTGGCTAATTCCTTCACCCTTGAAGGCTCAGCTTAGTCAAACATCCTCCAAGAATCCTTCTTATATCTCCTTCTCCCCCATCTGGGTTAGGAGGCCTCCCTCGCTGCTCACTGGCATGCGGGCTTACCTCTGGCATAGCGCTTAGCACAGTTTAAGAATCTCTTTACTCTTCTCACAGGATCAGGAACTGCCCAGATAAGAAGGATCACATCCTTTATCTGTATCTTTAGCAACCAGCACAACTCCAGGCACATAGAAGTTGTTCCATAACTAGTTCTGCATAAATGCCACTACTTCATTGTTACAAACACTTTAAAGTAGTAGTAGCTTAAAATTTTATAAATCAGAAAAATGAGTCAGAGTGTAAATGAAGGTCAGATGACTCAAGCTGGAAAGTCATGAATTATTTTTAGCTCATTTTAACAGCTGGGAATCAACCCTAACTTGGTGTTTAATTTCCAGGGTAGACAAAACCAGAACAACTGAATGGACTCTAAAAGTGATTTAATCACTGATTTGTCACTTCACGCATCCCCTGTCACTACCACCAAAGGTGATTTCAAAGCTTTATGCTTGGCGCTCTGTAAAGCAATTTTAATGGCAATGATCAAATGTCAGTGAGATCTTTGACACAACAAAACACTGACGTGTTTACACGTACACGAGGAAACCACGAGTATTTCTTTCTTCAGACTAAACTGTAAAACTCCATTACTGTTTGCTAGTGTATTTCCTTCTTAAAGAAGTAATTATTTATTTACTTTTATGTATAATTATTATTTTAAAATTTGCTATGGGGCATGGGCACCACAGAGATAATTATAAAGTGAGAGAGAGAGAGAGAGAGAGAGAGAGGGAAAGTGAGAAAGCAAGCTACCAGGTCTGGAACTCAAACCACTGTTGGCCATGTGGGAGTTCAGCACCTTAACTGCCACGCCACCTGCTGGCCCTATTAATGTATTCATTTAGACGCCCTTTGCTAACCCTGTTAGTGTATTTCTTTAGAGTAACTTGGTCATGGGCAAAAATATAACCTACTGCTCAGTTCATTGTTTATTCAATAATTCTTTTTTTAATTTCTAGAGACGGTGCACATGTTTACTAGAGAGACTGCAAGACAGAGACAGATAAGAAACAGATAAAGGGAGAGGGAGAAAGCACCCCCAGTGGGGTGTAGTCATACCACAATCCCTTCTCCTCTATCCTGTCTGGGCACACATGCATATGAGCCCAGTGTGTTTTTTAAGCTGCAGGGGTGGGCTTCTAATCATGGCTGGCTATGTGGGATCCAGCTTCCTTCACCACTAGGATATGAGGCCAGCCCTACTCAATAAATCATTTCTGAGCTATGAATTTTTATAAGGCTTTTTGATAGGAATTATGGGAGACTTAATATAACATATTATTAAATCAATATAATACCCTCACTGAACCTGAGAGACTTTATCATCTGTTTTAAAAAAGAAAGGAAAACAAACTCTACTAAAAAGATCAAACTATTCAAGATCATGTATAATAAATACTACATTACATTGTACAGATGAAGACTGTGTATGTTGAGCAAGGGGGGGGGCTCTCTAAGAGCTACAGACCAGTAATGGTGGACTAGTATTTCTTACTCCCTGCTATGCTTTCTAATTACATTGCCGGGCAAGCCTTGGAATAGGACTGAGTTTTTAGTCTTTTCTGCAAATAAGACTGCCTCATCAACCTACAAATATAGCCTATGGGTTTTATATGAGAAAAAATAGATACACATATAAGGTCAATGCATAGACTCCATCTTTTTGAATTTGCCTTCTCACTAAAATTTATTTGTAACAAAATCAATACTCCCAATGGACAGACAGAAAAATGTACTACTTTTCTCATTCATCATAAGGGTCACAACTGACACTCTATAACAAAAGACGGTTTAACGAGAGTGTGACAAATTTACTTCATCAAAGTTTTACATGACACAGAAGCCTTCAAAAGTGAAGACCCAAAAACCTGAGGAGAACTGCCTGCTTTTATGGTTGGATCCAGGGAAGAATGGGCAACCATGTAGGAGTGTAATTGGTGGCAGACTAGGGAAGCCCAGCAAGGCCTGTGCCTTCAGATTTCTCTAGGCCTTTCTGGGCAGCATTTCTCCCCCTTGATATGAGGCAGGTTTCCTCTATGAGAAAGGCCTTCAAGGAAAAAGAGCAAAGAGTACTCTGTCTAGGTTTTGGGGAAAGGAGTTCTAGTTTCTAAGACTGGCCTTAGGAAAGAATTCTGGTTTCTAAGAGGAGCTTAGGAGAAGAAATAAGGGTGGGAGAGGATGGGGGTGGGTGGTCAGAGAGACCTCACTTCTGAGGCTTTCCATTGTCCTGCAGCTCAAGTACTCACCTTTCCAGAATGCACACTTTGGGTTATGGTGTTCTGATCCCCAATAGGGCCCATTCATTGTCATTGACAGACAAGCACAGAAACTCTAAAAGACTTACAGGTTTCCTTCTGAGATCAAAGAGAGCAATCCACCTCCT